AGAGAGAGAGAGAGAGAGAGAGAGAGAGAGAGAGAGAGAGAGAGATGGAGAAAATGCGTGTGAAGCTTAACTATGTGATTTTTTCCCACAAAATCAGGGAAGCACTCATCCAAATCTCTCCATGGCAACACACAAAGTTTCCTAAGCACACAAAACAATCATCTAAGCAGCACAATACACTTTGGATCATCTGCAAATTGTTTAGTTGCCCCCTGTTTGCCAAAAAAAAAAAAAAAAATGATGATTTCACAGTGCCTCCACTGTGTAGAATTTGTACATGGGGCATAAAATAATGAGTTGAATCAGGGGCAAGTAGATACAACGGCCACTTATTCAATAGATTAACCACTTAGCTAAATCCTACAGATACTGAGAAATATATAATACAGTCACTGTCCTCAAGGATTTTGTATTCTAAGTGGTGCAACCCTGAAATTTTCAATGAAAAAAAGGGCATCAATCTAAGAAAGGGCATGAGGTGGCATTTGATGAAGTGGCAATGAATCAAACAATGAATAACCAAATTTATCAGTTAAAATATTTAGTTAATGAGAACGTACACATAACTCAAGTCATAAATGGGAAACCAGAATAAGTGAACTTAAGTGAGTCTCAATTTTCCTAGGCCTCAGTTTCCTCAAATACAAAATAAAGGGTTTGGTCTAGTCTGGCTCCAGGATTTGTCCCAGTGCTTTCAGAATTCATATTGTATTCATGGCCTATGAATTTCTGAGCAGTGAAGTATCACACACTTAACCTAATACACAAAGTATTATCTTTGTGGGTCCTCCAAGGGCATAGATCTTTCTGCCTTAGTTTCTTCATCTGTAAATCAGGATACTATTTAATTCATTGTTGAATATAAAGTTACTCTTTTTAAGGACTTAGTACAATTCCTAAGTATAGTGTACACTTAATAAATGCAGCATACCATTACCATTCATCATGGGAATATGAACAAAGACTTTAGTCACAGCTAACTCTGCTCTGAATACCCTTCTCCCATAAATATAGCATCATTCATTGTCTTGAGCCTGGGCACCTCCAAGTAGAAAGACAGCTGGCATACACTAGTTTTAATATAAGCTTCATCTTTCCCACATTATTTCTACTAGTCATTTTTATGACTAGAAAAGTATTTGTGTTCCAAATATAGCTCATATTATCATTATCTGATATTGAATATAATTGTCATTCAATTTAATAAATAAATATATATACAGCATGAAGCTATAAGTATTATTAAAATATTGTATATTTAACACATAAGTTCTATATCTGAGGATATAAAAACTCAGTGTTGTTACATAATTTACCTTTGCCTCATTCTAGACTCATATAATTAGATTACTTCAGTTTATAGGCAGTTTCAGTTTTTATTGCTCACATTCAGTATAGAGTAGGTACTAAGAGCACTAAGAAAGAACTTTGATCTGCCTAGGGATTTAGGACAAGAATATTAAACTTTCCACATCTCAGTATCTTTATCTGTACTTTAGGATGATACTAGTAAATTTATGGTGGTGATGTGCTAACCACAATAACCAATATGAAAGGGTTTCTAAGAATTCCTTAGTTACAAAGCATTCAAAAGGGGTGACCTATTTTCAAACATCATGGAAATAAGAATATTCTATCATACTTTAGGTTTAGTGGATGTATTTTGATTACTTCTTTTTATAGTTACAATCTTGAGCAACATGTTTGTTTTTAGCTGAAATAAGTTTTTGCAATCACCCAGCCAGCCCAATCCTTTTATTTTTAGAAATAAACATACTAAGGCCCAGATAGATGTTGAATGTACAAAGTCACTGTAAGTTAAAGCAGAGCCAAGATATAATTAATCACATATATTTAGTTTATTTTACTATAACACATTTCAGAGTGCATCTGGAAACTCCCTATACCCTAATTTTATCTCAAATAAAAAAAAATTAAGAAATTGCCACTTAGCCTAGGAAATTATCCAAAAATAAATTGCTGGTGTTCATTTGTGTCCTAACTGGAACATTTTTTTCTTTAATGTCTTTGTTTGATCTAGTCTTTTGATAACATGACACACAAAGAAAGGAAAAAGCACTTCAGTAATTTAAGGTAATCCTAATTTTAGCAAGAATCTTTTAATAATGCCATATTAGTTAAGGTATGTTTTGAGCTTTATACTTATAAACACATTATATACATTTTTAAATGATATGGATTTTGTGAGTTGTGAAGAGTTTCTTTTAATAAAACTTTCATTAAAGTTTTTACTGAACCTTAAAATCAGTTTTCCCCTAATGAGTGCTGTTATAATTTCTTAATTGTAGTTTTAAAATAAATAAATTTCAAGATAGTTGAAGATATTCAAAATGTACAAGCATATTTCTACAATTCCAGGTGAATTCCAAATTCCCTGAAATCAATATATTTCACTGATATTCTCCAACGCAGTGGTTATTTTGGAACATTAACAAGACTATCTCAACCTTCTGGTTATCAATTATTACCTATGGCGCTCCGTTCTTGACCGGTTATTTTCCATGCAGACTTTAAAGCTAGAGTTGGAAAATCAAACAGGCAGAAAGAGAAGAAAAGAAACTTTTCACTCTGCTCATTCACTTTTCACCTTCTTTGAGATTAGGAAGCTCTGAAAGGGGCAGGTGGACAGAAATATAAGGCTCACTGCAAAGCCTCAGCCTTGAGCGGGCGGGATGCACACCCTCAGCTCAGTCCCGTTAACCCGCAGTCCGCAGCTCTGCGCGCTCGCCCAGCCTCCCGGCGCCCCAGTCCTGGCCCGCCCTCTACACCGCCTTCGCCTCCCACCTCCAGCAACAGGTGCCGCAGCAGCGACCCCGAGGCACCGAGGAAGCTGTGGCGCCTCCCTGGGGCACTGGGATGCTAAGAGCACAACCCCCAGTCATAGCCTACCTTGCCCTGAGGACACCAACATCTGCGCGCGCCCTGCCAGTCCTTCCTTCTCACACCCTCTCTGCTTCTCGCTCGGGTTCCCTCGCCTCCTCTGGCGGCTGATTCTTTTCCCCACTACGAGGTCAGAAGGAGGGCTCCATCCTCCTCCCACTTCTGCTCCCCTCCATCCTCTCTCTTCTCCAATAGGACTCGCGGTTCCCGGGGCTCCGCTCACCTGACCAATGGAGTGGGGGTGGCTGTCCACAGTAACACGCTTTCCTCTGCACAGCAGGCAACCAAGTCCGCGTTACGGCGTTGGGAACACCCTGCGTTGGCCATCCCTAATGGATTCTTCCAGCAGTTAGGCGCCTAAGCTGACCTGCCTGGGAGCTGGAGCTAGAGTCCTGCCTCTGCCAGCACATCCCAGCATTAGTACGTGTTAGGCGCCTTCTAATTGTCCCCTTAGGCTAAACTTTCTAGTTGCTCCCTTGGGCACAAAATCCTTCAAAGAGACTGTGGGGCACTCCAACCTTATACTCCATTGTAAGCAATTCCTACTTTTCTTTCGGAAGAGAAAATCTGTTTACTGAATCTTGTACCGTTCTTAAAAGTATAATTTTTTCAGCATTGATTGAAGTACTCCCTAAGGTGTTCACCCCATGAGAATCTGATCACATATTGATGAAATATCAGAAGTAAAAGCTCTACCCCAAAATACACTTATAAAAACAGGGACCGAAGTCAACATCTGGAATGAGCTATCTGTCCCTTCATATATAAAATAGTATTAATTCCTACCTTATGGCTGTTAAAAGGATTGAATTAATGAGATTGCATGTGAAGACCAACTCCTCACTGAACACTTAGTACGTGGTAAATTCTCAGATAATGTTGTGTCCCCATCCCTGACCCCCAACCCCCCTTGAAAATAAAAGTCCCATCTGGGCAAATGGCAGCTCTAAGGCTGAGGCAGGAGGATCACAAGTTCCAGGCCAGCCTCAGCAATTCAGGGAGACCTGTTGCAAAATAAAAAGAACTGGAAACATAGCTTGGAGGTAAAACCTCCCAAAGCCCCCAATAGACCAGAGCATCCAGCAATCCCCCATCTGCACCAGATTTTTTTTGAAGTTATTTATTTATTTACTTACTTATTTATTCTAATCAGTTATATATGACAGCTGAAAGTCCTTCAATTCATTGTACACAACTGAAGCACAATTTTTTACTTCTCTGGCTCTACCCACTGCACCAGAGATTTTCAAAGCAAATGCAGCATTGTTGGACTCATGAAAGTCTCAGACCTAGAGGTGGGTTAAAAATTAGCTGTCCAACACTACCTCACCACTTTTTATTGGGACTGGGGGGATGAAAATAAGAGCAGATGGAGTGGATTAGTAAAAGGCAGAGGTAGAATTAGGGTCCTAGGTCTCCTCCTAGTTCTAAACGCAGTGCTCATAAATACCCTTACTAATTAATTGGAATAGGAATAACTAGATACTATGAGTTACAAACTGCTTTCTGGGGTACTAATTCAGTATTATTATTACAGGTTGTTACTGAATGCCTCACCCCAAAGCTGCAACACTCAACAAATAGCTGGATATGAAAAGTAAAGATTATTCAGGCAAAACAGTTTGTACAGAAACTGCCTGAGAATGGAAATACTGCACTTCGTGGCTCTACTAAAGGTAGTGAGAACAGCCTGTTTGTTGTACAAAATGTACTTGTTGGAGTTGAGCAAATTAACAGAGTAGACACCGCAGGCATGCTTACTAAATTCAGTAGTATAGGAAATGAAACATCAAGACAACCCAAAGTTAAAACAGTGAATCAGTTAGTTATCCTAGTCATAATGTGAAACAAAACAATAACATTAGAAAAATATTTTCTTACTGATTATTTAAAACTTCTTACCAAAATGCATATTCCATCCCACATTTTACTTGTTTTATTAACATATAAAAGGACCTTATTTGTGGCTAAATGTTACTTTAACTTATTAAGACCCTGTTTACCAACAAATATTTCATCTTAGTTCTTGTTTCACTAAGTTTCATCAATAAACACATTCTTCACAACTGAACCTAGCCTGCCTAAGTCACTCTGTTTATGACATCTTCCTAGGCATTGTAAACCCCTCTAATCTACTTCAGGGAATTAAGTGACTCATTAACAACTGCTACTGAGTGTTTAAGAAGCAGAAGAACCTGAAAGGCATTGTGGGGGGAAGGGAACTTCAATCTCTAAAACAATGCTGAATTTATTGAATTTGCACTCTTTCTGGGGTGAAAGTTTAATCAATCAAAAGAAAGAATATACCAAGCTAAAAATGCTAGCCCAGAGAGTGCTAGATATGTTGTTAATGATCTTTCTGTCACTATAATGAAATCCCCAGATAAGCTGATTATCTTATAAAATCAACTTATAAAGAGAAAGAGTTTATTTTGGCTTGCAGTTGTGGAGGTTCTAATCCAGGATCTGTTGGCCCCACTGTTTTGGGCCTGTGACTAAATAGCACACCATGGTAATAGCACGTAAAGGAACAACAAACTGCTTTTTCATGAGCTAAGGAGCAAAAGAGAGGAAGAGGTTGGGGTCCCACAATCCTCTTATGGCATGCTCACAATAACTAAGGGCTTCCCACTAGCCCCATCTCATTAACGGTCCACCACCTCTCAAGAGCACCACCTGGAGACCAAGGCTTTAACACATGGGCCTTTAAGGAATTCAAGGTCCAAACTATAGTAGATGCTGTAACAGAAAAAGAGTACATGGATCTCCAAAAAGCTGATGATCTCTGCCTTAAGAAATGAAATCACAGAAAACAGTATAGCTGGTATTTTTAGTGCTAATATTTGACAAAGTAAAGTAGATGCTATCATATGCTGAACTTATTCAATTAATGTCCATTGCACTTAAATTCAAATCATTATATGGACCAATGTATACTATATGATTCTGTCCCTCTTTCATCTCCAGCTTCATCTTGTAGCACTCTCCCCCTATTTCACAGTATTCTCATCATACTGACCATCAAGTACAGCAAAGCATTCCTAACTCAGAGCCTCTGCACAAGTCTTTCCCTCTGCTTGGCACATTGATGATATGACTTCATATGACTGGCTCCTTTCATCCAGATATTTTTTTAAACCTCAACCATTAATTACAATTTAGAGGGACTTTTGTTCTTCAAATTATGCTTTGATAGGGAAAACAGAAGGAAAGAAAGAGGATAACTGAGCGCCTGGAGATGGAACACCTTTGCAGCTACCACTGAGAAAGATGGGTATGGAAAGGGAAGCTGAATGTTCTGTAAAATATTCTGAAAAACAAAGTTAGCCCAATTCCCAATACTGCCTAAATATAGCATCAGTAGAATGTATTTTCCCTATAGTAATTGTCATCAAATCAATAATTGTTTATCACAGCAAAGAGTAATGAGCTTTCTTAATCTAATAGGAAAAGTAATGATGTCATACAATTCTTCCTTCCTACTTAAATTTAGTAAGTCTTACATGTTAAATATACCTTATAAATCTTCTCAAAAAAATCTTTTTAGTCCCTTGAAAAAGAAATTTCTCATCCTTGAGGTTTTAAGTAGAAGCTTAGACATGCAAAAAAGAATTCACCAAAGTAGTAAAACCAAACTTAGGTAATATTTATTTTCTTTTTTGGCCACCCCCAAAGTACTATAAGATATTACTTCAAAAGTGCCCAAATCTAGATTGGGGGTGAGGAAGGAAGGGCAGGAAAGGAGAGGAAACACAGAATGAATTTGACAGAATTATACTGTGTACATGTATAAATATACTATAGTGAATTCCATCTTTATGTATATCTATAAAACATCAACTAAAAATATATAAATGAGTGTAAGTAGACCAGTAGAATAAAAAGGGAGAAAGGGAAGAGGAAAGGGCATGGGGGGGAACCAAGGACTGAAACAGAGCAAATTAAATTCTATGTTTGTGTGATTATATAAAAATGAACCCAACTATTATCTGCAACTATAAAGCACCAAGAAAAGCAAAAAGAAAAAGAAGAAAAAAAGAGTATCCAAATCTGTCTGCTGAAGTCTTCTATTTGGGCCCTAGCCCCAAGACAGGAAAATAAAATAGTATGGCCAAGCTCTTGCCACAAACCTGGAGTCCTTTCTCTTTATTGAGAAGCTCAGAATCATCTCTATCTAAGAATAATTCAACTGGCCACACCAACCTCCTCATTTGCATACCAATATGTAAAAATGTTTTCAATAAATTTTAATGTTTATCATCTTAGAACTACACAATAGAAAAACAAACTAACCTTAAATCCATGTTATCAAAGAGCCAGGGACACCATAACAGGTTGTCTTAGTTAGCTTTTACAACACTGTGACCCAAATGCTTGACAAGAACAACTTAAAGGAAAAGTATCAGAGGTCTCTGTCCACAGACCATTGACTCCCTTGCTCTGGGTCCAAGGTGGGGCAGCACATCATGGTGGAATTGCATGGCGGAGGGAAGATGCTTTCCTGCTGGCAGTAAGGAAGCTTAGAAAGAGCAAGGGAGGAAGAGGCCACACTCTTCCAGCACATGTCCCCAGTGACCCACTTCCTTCAGCCACTACCCACTTGCACGCAGTCACTATGCAGTAAGTGCATTCAGCCTAGGATAAACTGATTATGTTACAGCTCTCAGAATCTAATCATTTTACTTCTGAATATTCCTACATTAACAGGAGATTTGGGGGGACACTTCATATTCAAACCTTAACATTCTGCCCCCGGCTCCCCAAAACTCATGTCCATCTCACAATGTGATATTCATTTAGTTCTTCTTTAAGAATCCATCATCTTAGTAGTTAAAGCATTGCCCAAATGTCTAAAGTCTCCTCTGAGACTAAAGGCAAACTCTTGGCTATGAGTCCCTGTAAAATTCAAAAGCAAGTTACACATGTCCAGCATAAAGTGGCACAGAGTAAGCATTTCCATTCCAAAAGGTAGGAATAGGGGCATGGAAAGAAGGAATAGAACCAAAACAAGATCTAAACCTAGCAGGGCAAACAGGTCCTGTAACTCTGCCCTTCACTCCACATAAAGAATTGGCTGTTAGATGTGCTCTTCAAAGGGTTTGGGCAGCCCTGCCCCTTTGGCTTTGCCAGGTGCAGTGCATATGGGCTCTCTTTTAGTCTTGCTCTCTCCACAGCAAGCAGCTT